CTTGAACAAAAAACTTTTTATAACATAGTTTTTTTTTCAAAACTCTAAACTTTCACTAGACAATTACTAACCTTTTGCTAGACAATTACTAACCTTTCGCTAGACAATTACTGAACAAAAAACTTTCTATAATATAGTTTTTTTTTCTTTCAGTTTTCTTTTTTTATAAACCATTTATTGTTTTAAGTTTTTACTTTTATAATGGCGTGAAAACCCTTAGCTAGTATAGAAAATATTTTGACATCAGAAGACTTATTAATAGGTGAAAGTTTTCTTGATGTTGGTACTTTTGAGAATAATAATAATTCAAATCTTGAGGATGTTGAAGACAGTACTAATAGTGAACCAGACAGTAATGATAAAGACAACTTTGAGAATACCAGTGATCAACAGTTGAGAAACTTACCTCTATCTCATGTTGAAATCTACTGTGGAAAGACCTTTGAAACGTAGAAAGAATGCTATGAAACATTAGGACATTATGCACGTCAAAATAATTTTGTAATCAGAAAAAAACGAGTAGATAATAGCTACAATCTACACCAATGCACATATGATTGTAAACGATCCGGCAAATATATTTCACATAAAACTGCCCTACCTAACAAGCAAAGAAATAAGGGTTCAAAAAGGATTGATTGCCCTTTTCTTATAAATGCATCCAAGAGTAAGGGCCCTAATGGTGAAACTATAATTAAGTTGACTTCAATATGTCTTGAACATAATCATCTGTTAGTTCCTAAAAATGCTAGCTTTGCTACTGAATACTAGAAACTTATAGCAGAAATGAAGGATCTTATTGAAAAATATACACTCTGTGATCTTGATGTTCTATCCCAGGTTTGGCTACTTCGTGAGTTGTTTTCTGAAGCAACAATTATAGATTATGATATGAAGAACTATGTATATAAATTTTGGTGTATTTATTCAATACAAAGTGGTGATGCTGCAAAGCTCTTTGAACATTTTGAAAAAGAATATGCAAAAGATCCTGATTGGTATGTTCAACCATTAATTGACATGGAAACGAATAGATTACAAGGTGTATTTTATATGATACCTGAACAGCGAGAAATCTGACGATGCTATGCAGACATTATTTTAAATTATAACACAGCAGTAACTAATGCCTATAATTTGCCATTAAGCATTTTTGCTGTTGTTGATAACAATTTTAAGTCGAGAATTGTTGCACAGGCTATATTGCCTGATGAAACAAGTGAAAGTTATGGATGGGTTTTACAGCAAACAATCAAAGCTACAGGAGTTCAACCTGGTGCCTTTATAATTGATGCTAACTCAGGTCTTGAGAGTGTTGTTCTTGAGATATACCCTAATAACCTACCTTCTTCACTGTATTTGGCATATCAGACGTAATATTGAGAAGCAGCTTGCGAAGTCTCTTGGTGACCGTTATGCAGATTTTCTCAAAGCCTTCTACCGCACATGTAATGTTTTATGCAAAGAGGCATTTGGTAGATATTAGCAACAATTAATAGTAACTTTCCTGAATCTACTGAATATCTGCTTAAACAACTTGATCTACGAAAAACAACTTGAGCAAAAGTGTTTACAGGCAGAATTTTTACAGCAGGTATAACAACTACCCAATGGTCTAAGTCAATAAATAGCGTTATTAAATGAACTGTCGATGAGAAGACTCAACTTCATATGTTATTCAAACGAACTAAATCACGAGTTGTAGCAGAATGTTTTGTAGGTCAGTTTACAGCTTGGCGTGAAAAAACTACATCATACATAACACCAAGTATTCCTGGACGACTTTTTCCAAATATATATAGTATTCTGCAGAAATATGTGATGCCTAAAATTTTAGAAATACATATTGAACAAATGGATGAAGCAGTTATGTATTATGATAAAAAGGTTGATTTTAAAGATCTAGAAAATTTGATATTAGAGACAGTTAAAAATGGACCAGTTGAACTCGAATATGATTTTTGCCAAATATGTCTTAATGAACTTCTTAAAGAAATTGATCATTCTTTAGTCATTGAAGTTTGGGAAGTTCGATCAATTGAGCATAAGTCAAATGTTAGACAACATGTAGCATTATTAAAAAATGGATATCATTTATGTACATGTATTCTACTATTTAATAGTGGAGTAGTTTGTCAACATTGGTTTTGTGTTCTTTTACAGTTTGAAAAAGCCCACTTTCATATTTCTTTAATCCCAAAACGTTAGTATAAAGATGAAATGATAGATTTATTAGTTATAAATGAACCATTTGTTAGAGGAAAGTCATATGAAGATGAACATTTAATACAATATATACTTTTATTTCCAGATGTTGCTGAGTCATAGAATGCTGTATTTGTTGAACCACCTGTGCAAACTGCAGCAAAAGCAATTGGCCGTAAGCAATCTATTAAGGGAACATTACTTGGTCTTACACGTAAATGCGTAGAATTAGTTAATTATGATGATTTAAATGACTCTAATCTTTTGATGAAAATATTTAAGGAATGGATACATACACACAAAGAAATACAGTATAATGATGAAAGAAGTCGATCTAATACAATTATTAGATATGGATGAACTACAAAATACAATTTAATTAATGATAAACAAAATATGAAGCAAAATCAGGTTATGAAATATGAATA